TCCAGACTTCAGGCTGTAATTGACTGCAAAGGATTTGCAACCAAGTATTAAAAATTGAAAGTTTGATTTATGATTATTATTCTGTCCCATTACTTTTGGTCCCTTAACAAGTGGGAGGCACATATGCAAACTGTTGTAATTCCTACACCGTTCACCTGATTTGGATGTAAATAGCCTCAAATTAAAGCTGACAGTCTGCAGTTAAATCGCACATCTTGTTTGTTTCATTTCAAATCCATTGTGGTGGTGTATAGAGCCACAAATGTTAGAATTGTGTCGATGTCCCAATATTTATGGACCTGACTGTAGTTCCAACAGTTTGTGCAGTGCTATATGATCACCTTATACACTGTTTATTTTTTTAAAGTTACTAAATAACTTTTTTCACATTGTCTAATAAAAAAATACACAAAGAAAGTGAAAAAAAGTTTCTAAAAAAAAAAAAAAAAAAAAAACACACTTCAAATGCATTTAAAAAGATAGTGCTCCCTTCCCCATTGACTCCAATGCATTTCATAAATAAAAAAAAAAAAATCAGCTAATTTTGCTAAATTTGGACTAGTTTTTTATTATCTGTATATTTTATATGATCTTATGATCCATGAAGCGATTACATAAATCAACATCAAATTAAAAAAAAGAAAAACCTTTATTAATCAGAATTTACAGCAATACAGCTTGAACGGGTCTTCCTTGAGCTGGAATACCATAAAGTTTTATATCTCTGTTAAATCGACTTTTACAGTTACAAGAATGTAGATCCCCCATATCCAGGCAGTAATCGTTGTGTCTTATACTTTGATGCTGACGTTTAATCTCCCAGTCCCAGAAGGCTGGGCTATCATTGATGTCTGTTTTTCCTCCTTATTGTCCCATATCATGAACTTTGCAAGAGAGGGCTGCGTGTTTTGGCAAGAATCCCACAAATACTTCTTTTGTTGAAGATCACTAGGAATGCTTTCAGTTGGACCATATCATCAAGATAGCTGGGACAGGTCGCACGGTGACGAGGCCACAGTTGGCAAAGTTTTCAATAAGCGAAACATCCCAATTCTCACAGTACGGCATGAAAGCATGAGAGAGCACCTGCTACTAAACAATCAAAGCATCTTTCCTGTTTTTCCCAAGTAGCTTTGGTTTTGTTGAGAAGAAGAACAGTCATTTTCAGCTATATACACTGGAAGGATTTCGGCAAACATCATTGCAGACCATTCTAGTAAGAGGTTTAATTGGATGAGATGACTATATCGCACGACCCAACTATTTGACAGCTAAAAGTTCATTCAAGGTACAATGGTGTAGCCTTAATATGAATGTCCTCTCCACTCAGACGTACATTGAGGATAAAAGCAAAGAAACGTTTACTAGATGGGAGACTTTTCCACAATATTAACTAATTAGTTGATGTAAGGGGGAAATCTGATGTGGGGGGGGGGGGGGGGGGGGGGCTCTGTGACCAGAGATCCCCTTTCATGAGAGCTTCCCTTTACACCAGAGTCTGCATCATTCCTCCTTACATTACGGTCCACAGAGTTCCCCTTTACATCAGGGTCAGCAGAGTTCCCCCCCTTACATCAGGGACAGCAGAGTTCCCCTTTGCATCAGGGTCCACAGAGTGCCCGTTTACATCAGGGTCCACAGAGTTCCCGTTTACATCAGGGTCCACAGAGTTCCCGTTTACATCAGAGTCTGCAGCATTCCCCCCTTTACACAAGAGTGCACCTCATTTCCCCTTATTATTATTATTATTATTATTACTACGAGTTTATATAGCGCCAAAGGGTTTGCTCAGCGCTGTACAATAGGGGGGACAATACATGGCACAGTACAACAACAACAAACAATGTACGAGGGGTAAGAGGGCCCTACTCTTACGAGCTTACAATCTAGGAGGGAGGGGGTAAAAGGTACAGTAGGAAGTGGCTGAGGGGGATGAAGTGGTGGGAGGAATGAGGGAGGATGGCCGTTAGGTGAGGGTGGGGTAGGCTTCCCTGAAGAGATGGGTTTTGAGGGAGCGCCTGAATGTGAATAGGGAAGGCGACAGTCTGATGGATTGGGGCAGTGAGTTCCAGAGGATGGGGGAGGACCTGGAGAAGTCCTGCAGTCATGCATGGGAGGAGGAGACCAGGGAGCAGGATAGAAGGAGGTCCTGTGAGGAGCGAAGGGTACGGGTAGGGTGGTACTTGGTGATAAGGTTGGTGAGGTAGTCAGGGGCAGTGTTGTGAACGGCTTTGTAGGTCAGGGTTAGGAGTTTAAATTTGATGCGTTGGGCAATCGGGAGCCAGTGGAGGGAGAGGCAGAGGGGGGTGGCAGAGGTGGAGCGGGTGGTGAGGTGGATGAGTCTGGCAGCTGAGTTCAGGATGGTCTGGAGCGGGGAGAGCCTGCACTTGGGTAGGCCAGTGAGGAGGGAGTTGCAGTAGTCAAGGCGTGAGATGATGAGGGAGTGTACTAGAAGTTTGGTGGTGTCTGGGGTGAGGAAGGAGCGTATCTTGGCAATGTTGCGAAGATGGAGCCTGCATGTGTTTTGTGAGTGATTTGACATGCGGTTGGAGGGAGAGGTTCGCGTCAAGAATGACGCCAAGGACTTTGGCTTGCGGGGCGGAAGTGATAGTGGAGTTGTTGGTGATGATGGATAGGATGGGGGGGGGGGGGTGTGTTTGGCAGGGGGAAAGACGAGAAGCTCGGTTTTGGAGAGGTTGAGCTTGAGGAAGTGTAGCGACATCCAGTCTGAGATGTCATTTAGGAGGTGAGTGATGCGGGCGGAGATAGTGGGGGGGTGAGGTGAGGGGTGGGAGAGGTAGATTTGGGTGTCGTCAGCATAGAGGTGATAGTTGAAGCCGTGAGATTGTATGAGTTTGCCCAGGGAGGAGGTGTAGATGGAGAAGAGAAGGGGTCCAAGGACAGAGCCTTGGGGGACCCCAACAGAGAGGGGGAGGGAGGGGGAGGTGGCACCATTGTAGGTGACACTGAAGGAGCGTCGGGATAGGTAGGATGAGAACCAAGAGAGAGCAGTATCTCCGATGCCAAGGGAGAGTAGTTTATTAAGGAGGAGGGGGGTGGTCAACTGTGTCGAAGGCCGCAGAGAGGTCCAGGAGAAGGAGGACAGAGTAGTCGCCCTTGGCTTTGGCGTTGAGTACTTTGTGGACCTTACATCATGGTCCACAAAGTTCCCCCTTACATCAGTGTCTGCAGAGTTTCCCCTTATATCAGTGTCTGCAGAGTTCCCCCTTACATCAGGGTCTGCAGAGTTCCCCCTTACATCAGGGTTTGCAGAGATCCCCCTTACATCAGTGTCTGCAGAGATCCCCCTTACATCAGTGTGTCTGCAGAGATCCCCCTTACATCAGGGTCTGCAGAGTTCCCCCTTACATCAGGGTCAGCAGAGTTCCCCCTTACTTTAGGGACAGCAGAGTTCCCCTTTGCATCAGGGTCCACAGAGTTCCCGTTTTACATCAGGGTCCACAGAGTTCCCATTTACATCAGAGTCTGCAGCATTCCCCCTTTACACAAGAGTGCACCTCATTTCCCCTTACATCATGGTCCACAACGTTCCCCCTTACATCAGTGTCTGCAGAGTTTCCCCTTATATCAGTGTCTGCAGAGTTCTCCCTTACATCAGGGTCTGCAGAGTTCCCCCTTATATCAGGGTCTGCAGAGATCCCCCTTACATCATGGTCCCCCCACAAAGTTCCCCCTTACATGAGGATCAGGTCAGCAGAGTTCCTCCTTACATCAGGGTCAGCAGAGTTCCTCCTTAAATCAGGGTCTGCAGAGTTTCCACTTACATCAGAGGTTCCCCTTACATCAGAGTCTGCAGCATTCCCCCCCTTACATCAGGGTCCACAGAGTTCCCCCTTCTACCTGGCAGAAATAGGGTCATCAGTTCAAATCCCAACTATTGCACTATCTTCCTGAAGTTTGCATGTTCTCCCTGTGCCTGTGCGGGTTTCCTCCCACACTCCACAGACATGCTGGTAGGTTAATTGCTCCTGTCTAAATTGGCTGTAGTGTGAATGAATGTGAGTTAGGGATCTTAGACTGTAAGTTGTTTGAGACCAGAGACAGATGTGAATGTACAACATATATGTAATGCCCTCTAATGTAAGATAGTTTTTTTTGTGTGTGTGCATAGTTAGAGGCTTGCTAGAAGCCTGGGAGTGAGTCAGCCTGGGAGTGAGTCAGTGAGGTTACTTCAGGTTAAGGCTGAAGGCCCGACAAGGTGGCTAGGTCAGCCCTTAACTATGACAGAGCCTGGTCAGCAGGGGAGTCAGGTGGAAGATGGAGTGAGGAAGTGCTGCTGGTGTGGAACTGGAAAGAAGGACCTCCACTGTTCCACAGTCTACCTGGGAAAGACAGCCTGTCAGCAGGGAGTAGAGAGCTAGAATCTATTTGTTCTTTTGTGATTTTTGCTGGATTCTTGCCATTTTTGTCTAAGAAGTGGTCCTCGAAGTTGTTTAGTTCCAGTGGGCATCCCATATACTCCTAGACCCCATCTAAGTTGTTAACCCCTAATAAAACAACAAAAAACCAAGCTCAAGAACTGTCTACTGAGTTTGGATGAAATATGGAAAATGTGTGTTGCTGGGCTGAGTAGAGCTTAGGGGGACCCAAAATCTCAGTAACCCTCAAGAGGGTATTGCTACATATTTGTAAAACCATTGCGTAAACTGTCTGCGCTATATAAATACTCATAATAAACAAACAATTTCTGTAGCCTCATATCTGCAGTTTGAGATCATCTAAGGCAGGGATCCCCAAACTGTAGCCCAGGGCCCAAATCTGGCCCACTTCAAGATTTTATCCAGTAATCTGATGTAAAAGGGAACTTTGATGGGAACTCTAATGTAAGGGGACTTCAATGTACGGTCGAGTTTGAAGCAGGCTCCAATGTAAGGAGACTCTAATGTAAGGTTTTTTTTTTTTTTAACCACTCGCCGTACGGCCGCTGTATATAAATGGCCAGGCGGTTCATAAACGGTGACCGCCATTTTGGACTGTACGCGCTCCCTGGGAGCGCGCAGCACCACGATCCGGTGCCCGCTGTGCCCTCCGGACACAGTGGAACACCGATCGTCGTACGGGACCTCTGGGCAAGGTCCCGATCATGTGATCACTGATTGGCCAGAGTACTAAGCAAGATGTCACTTCGAAATCTGCATGTGAAATCTGTGAATAATCACAGAGATCACATGGTACAAGGCTATTCACAACAGCCTTGTACCATGTGACAAGCATTGACCAATCACAGCTCACACAGTATTTCTCAATGGTTGCAAGAATGCAGCCAGAGAGAAGGAGAAATGATTGCTTTTACAGCCTTTATGGGTGTAAAAGAAACCAGTGTAAAAAAAAAATCTTCATCACCCCCCACAAGTAGTACAGTGTCACCATCGTGACACTGTACTGCTAGGGTGACAGTATGTAAAAAATAAAATAAAAACAAATAAATATAATATAAAAAAATAAAATAAAAATGTAATTTTTTTTTTTTTAAATTATAATTTTTGGTTACAAACTAATTTGGGTTTTTTTTTTTTACTAAAAAGATAACTGAATACATTTTGAACAAGATTTATGATGAAAATATTATTTATTTGCAAAAACCCTTTTTTTCAAAATTTTTGGACATTTTCATTTATATAGCAAAAAAAAATAAAAATCCCAATCGTGAATAAATACCACCAAAATAAAGCTTTATCTGTCTAAAAAAAAAATGCAAAAAAATTAATATGGGTACAGTGTTGCATGACTGCGCAATTGTCATTCAAAGTGTGATAGCGTTGAAAGCTGAAAATTGGCCTGGACAGGAAGGGGGTGAAAGTGATTTAATAAAAAAAAATCATATTCTTTTAACGTTGATTTGTTAATTTACAAAAATGTTCTTTTTTTAGCCTGTAAAAATTTGTAAAATACACAATGAGGCCCTCGTACTGAAAAGTTTGGAGACCCTTGATCTATGCCTTTGGCTGCTAGTCTTACCAGATCTGGAGTGACATTTGGTGATGTCACTACTGTGCTGCTCATTGTTCTTGCTGGAGAGGAAACTGTACCTGAGGACATACAGTGCAAGAATCTCCCTGCTTATGCTTCGTCCATTCTGTGGATTATACTCCTCCTCCTGCTTGATCATTAACCCACCAGTCATTCTATCACCAGTCATACTGGGCTAGCTCTGACGTAAGGAAGAAAAGCCTCGCTCCTCTACCGAGATGGCCACCTCCACATAGAACGTTGCATGGTAAGGCAGTAATGGGGGGAAAAGATCAACTGCACGAAGCCTACAGGCAATCTTGGTGCCTAGTCCTTTGCCCTCTACTTGACTATTTTGGCACAGCTTCCACAGTTCAGGCGCGCTTTAGTAAAAATCACAGATAATATTTAAAACGTTCCTTCCATCTTCACCACAAAACCAAGCATGAAATCCCAAAAATATTTGCTGTCATAAATCCAGCTCTAAAATGGCGTGCAATGCAGATCTTCTCGGGCTATGTCCTTATTTGGAGAAGCAAAGCAGCACAAACCAATTTTCCATTTCCCAACTGATGACAATATGGGAAGAGTCATCCCAGCCCCTGGAAAAGTCAGCAGTTTCCTAGATTTAATCGTTTATGGAGCAGATTTTATTGCCTCTTTTATGTTCACAACAAAGCGCAGCGGCCTCGAAATTTGAAATCCAATCTGCAGAAAGTATGTACCATTTCTCTTGCATGCGACACAGACATTCGAGCCTCAAACTGTGCAAGACAAATCTGAAAGCTTTGAAATATGTCCGCAAGCCGGGTTCCCCTCGATGTTCATAAGTACATCTGAAGGATGGGGGTCTTCTTTTTATTATTTTGGTATGCGCTATTACCGAAGGATGTCCCGGGATGCTGTTTTCAAAGCCCTCAAGCCCAAACAAGCCAATTGAAGGCTCAGTAAATTTGGAAAATAATCTCTGACCTTTGCCCCTGACAGATCTGGCCGCCATGACTGACTGAAAGGAGCTGAGTGAATAGTTGGCCTCGAATTTCAGATAATCTTCGGAGTGTTGTTGTCAGCAGATGTAAGGAATCCAGAGAAGATGGGTTAATATGGAGAACATTACTCAAGATGAAAGTTGCAGTGTCAAAAACATTGTCCTGCTGTCCGTTATAGAAAATGTACACCGAAAGTATCTTGGAGCTGATGGTTTATGACTAGAAAGAAGATGCTCCACCCGACATCATCATATGCAGGCCATAGACGGGGAGAAAACTGGACGTTTTTTTGTTTTTTTAAAAACGAAAAATCGGTCGTTCAATCAGCCGACATTACCACTATTGGTAAAAAAAGGTCGGCTGATTTTCGTCCCGTCTACGGCCAGCAATTATATAGAATATATGCAGAAGAAGAAGAAATAGAATATGCAGAAGGAGAAGAAATAGAATATGCAGAAGTAGAAATAGAATATGAAGAAGAAGAAGAAATAGAATACGAATAAAAAGAAGAAATAGAATATGCAGAAGAAGAAATAGAATATGAAGAGGAAGAAATAGAATATGAAGAGGAAGAAGAAATAGAATACGAATAAAAAGAAGAAATAGAATATGCAGAAGAAGAAATAGAATATGAAGGAGAAGAAATAGAATATGAAGAAGAAATAGAATATGAATACAAAGAGAAATAGAATATGAAGAAGAAGAAATAGAATATGAATACAAAGAAGAAATAGAATATGCAGAAGAAGAAAAAGTTGCAACATTGTATCTATTTGTATCCATTTCGGATACAGATGTTTCTATTCGGATACAAATACTGTAAATACAATGTTGCTATACTTTTAAATGTCAAATATAATATCGGACTGAAATTCTTTTTTTCTTCTCCTTCATATTCTATTTCTTCTTTTTTCTTCTTCATATTCTATTTCTTCTTTTCATTCATATTCTATTATTTACCTTTTCTTCTTTTCCTTCTTTCATGTCACTGCTCATGCGCATTTTTAAATAAATTTGTCCATCATTCCCCGCGAAAATCGGCAGAACGACAAATTTGGCCGATTATTTTCCAGCAGACCGATAATCTAAAAGGTCAAAAATCACAAAAAATGGCCGCCGACCGATTACCGCACTAACGATCCGAAAATCGGACAATTTTCGTTCGTTTTCATCTCATCTATGGCCCGCATAAAAGCCACTCATTGAAGACAATCTCTTTTGTAGTCACTGTGTCAATGACACAAAAAGATATCCTTACCCTCAAAAAAGAATCTATCCACATCCACTACTTAAAGTGGTTGTAAACCTCAGACATGAAATATGAAAAAGCATAACCTTCTATAGTGTGCACTTGTCTCAATCCAGAGAACTAAGTGTCATTTCTGTCAGCCGCCTCGTTCCTTTGCTATCTGCATGAGTCTCTGCTGACAAGTTTTCCTGACACCAAGAGAAAAAATGGTGACGGGGAGGAACCTCCAGCAGATTGACAGCCTGAGCTCTTTTCCTGTGTGCTGTGTTTAGTGTGTGTGTGTGTGTGTGTGGGGGGGGGGGGGGTGTCCCTTTCCTCTAATCAGCTCTCAGAGTTCTCCTCACTGATGTAACCACAGCTCCCTGCCCCCTGATTTTCAGAGCTGTGTAAATCCTGCACTTGGAATGGATGTAGGGGACATACAGCTATAGATAAGCAGGTACAACTTATGTAGGAGGATTTGTTTCATCTCTGTGTATCACCTGAGGCCAGTCACGTCACTTGGTATATGTAAGGGTTTACAACCACTGTAATGAAGCCGTTTCTTGTGATTTTTCGCCTCCTTATAATGTGCTTCATGAGCTCCAGAACCTCTCCATTTCCCTCTCACTTCCCTTTGTTTAGAAAAAATAGTGTATGTTAGTTGGAGTCATGTGCACTGCTCTATGTAAACTACAAATCCCAGAGTCCATCTTGGGAGGAGAACAAGAGAGGGTGGCTACATTCTACATACAGTGGGACCATGGAGAAGAAACATAGCCACCCTCTAACAGAAAGTCAGATCACAGCAGCGAAAAAAAGAATTTTGAGATTTGGAGGAGGCTGAGAGCAATAGACGAAATATATATATAATAGTGTGGAAACTTTTTAACTGCTTCCCCACCACCCTACCCGTGCCACCATTGGCATCTACAGATGTCAATCACTGGGTCCCAGACAGAGATTCCCCGCCGGCACCCAGGGAAAGTGACAGGGGAGAGACCTGTGTGCAAACAACACAGGTCTCTCTCCTGCCAGCAGTAACATGCTGCTGTGTATTTCTCTTCAGAGCAGAGAAATACACAGCAGCATGTTTCCCTAGTAAAACACGCAGCACATACAGTAAAACACAACACACAGTTAACCCTTTGATCGTCCCACATGTTAACTCCTTCCTGCCCAGTGTCATTAGTACAGTGTCAGTGCTTTTTATCAGCACTCATCACTGTATTAGTATCACTGGGGATGTCAGCGGCAGTTAGTTCCTCCCCAGTGTCAGAATGCCCGCTACAGTCCTTCAGTCCCGCTATAAGTTGCTGATAGCCGCAATTACTGGTATATATATATATATATATATAAAAAAAAAGGAATTCCAGTATATTTACCGCCATTTGTAGATGTTAGAACTTTCTCGGAAACCAATTAATTTACACGTATTGGGATTTTTTTTTAGCAAAGACATGGAGCAGAATACATTTTGACCTAAATTTATGATGAAATTTGATTTTTAAAATGTTTTTACTGGATATGCTTTATAGCAAAGTCAAAAATATTGTTTTTTTTTTTTAAATTGTCTATCTTTTTTTGTTTATAGCGCAAAAATAAAAAAGGCAGAGGCGATCAAATACCACAGAAAGAAAACTCTATTTGTGGGGAAAGAGGACTTAAATTTCATTTGGGTGCAGCATTTCATGACCTCACAATTGTCAATTAAAGTATCGTATAAAATGGCCTGCTCAGGAAGGGGGGGGGGTAAATCCTCTGGAGGGCAAGTGGAACCCTTATATAAATTATCATTTTTTCTCCTTTTTTATAAACCAGAGTTTGTCACTTGAACTTTCTTGCAAAAGTATTGTTAAAGTGTATCTAAAGCTAAACTTTTTTTTTTCATTTTGTAAAGATCGGGAAGAATGAGAACCCTCCAGGCATTTATATTTCTCTCCGTGTCCCTGCTGGGGTGACTCAAACTCTGATATTGTCCTGGTCACTCTATTTGTCCATTATCACTGGGATAGAAAGTGATGGTGGGTCAAAAAATGTTATGGCTGTCACTGGAAGAGGAGGTTAGGGTA